CGCATCCCACCCCATCTCATTCCCACCCCATCCAAACCCATCTCATCCCATCCTACTCTCATCCATTCCCATCCTGTCCCATTCCACCCATTCCATTGCATCCCATCTTGTCCATCTCATCCTGTCCCATCTCATCCTGTTCCATGCCACCCATCCTGTCCCATCCTGACTTGTCCCGGTGCATCCCATTCTGTCCCACCTGACTGCCCCACTCTGTCCCCAGCTGTGGGTCCAGGACCGGCTGCCCCTGGCCACCCTGCAGGAGCAGGGGAGCAACCTGCAGACAGTGCAGCAGTTCATGAAGAAGAACCAGGTGAGCGGTGGGGCAGGTGCCTGGTCACCTGGGTCCTTGCACTGGGCAATGATGAAAGCTGATGCATGACAATGCATGATGATGATGATAATGATGACGATGATAATGATGGCGATGACCAATGATGATGGTGATGACTGATGACGATGATTATGCTGGTGATGATGATGATGACGATGACCACGATGATGGCAGTGATGGTGATGACCGTGATGGTGATGATGGTGGTGGTGATGTTGATGACGGTGGTGGTGATGTTGACGATGACGGTGATGACGATGTTGACGGTGGCGATGTTGGCGATGCCCGTGATGATGATGGTGGTGGTGATGTTGACAATGACGGTGATGACGATGTTGACGGTGGCGATGTTGGCGATGCCCGTGATGATGACGGTGGTGGTGATGTTGACGATGACGGTGATGACGATGTTGACGGTGGCGATGTTGGCGATGCCCGTGATGATGATGGTGGTGGTGATGTTGATGATGACGGTGATGATGACCACAACGATGATGGCCCCAGGCGCTGCGCCGGGAGCTGCAGGACCTTGCTCCATGCCATGGGCCTTGGGCTTCAGGTGATGGCTCCGCCATGCCCCATGGGCACTGGGCATGGACCTTGCTCCATGCCATGGGCCTTGGGCTTCAGGTGATGGCTCCGCCATGCCCCATGGGCACTGGGCATGGACCTTGCTCCATGCCATGGGCCTTGGGCTTCAGGTGATGGCTCCGCCATGCCCCATGGGCACTGGGCATGGACCTTGCTCCATGCCATGGGCCTTGGGCTTCAGGTGATGGCTCCGCCATGCCCCATGGGCACTGGGCATGGACCTTGCTCCATGCCATGGGCCTTGGGCTTCAGGTGATGGCTCCGCCATGCCCCATGGGCACTGGGCATGGACCTTGCTCCATGCCATGGGCCTTGGGCTTCAGGTGATGGCTCCGCCATGCCCCATGGGCACTGGGCATGGACCTTGCTCCATGCCATGGGCCTTGGGCTTCAGGTGATGGCTCCGCCATGCCCCATGGGCACTGGGCATGGACCTTGCTCCATGCCATGGGCCTTGGGCTTCAGGTGATGGCTCCGCCATGCCCCATGGGCACTGGGCATGGACCTTGCTCCATGCCATGGGCCTTGGGCTTCAGGTGATGGCTCCGCCATGCCCCATGGGCACTGGGCATGGACCTTGCTCCATGCCATGGGCCTTGGGCTTCAGGTGATGGCTCCGCCATGCCCCATGGGCACTGGGCATGGACCTTGCTCCATGCCATGGGCCTTGGGCTTCAGGTGATGGCTCCGCCATGCCCCATGGGCACTGGGCATGGACCTTGCTCCATGCCATGGGCCTTGGGCTTCAGGTGATGGCTCCGCCATGCCCCATGGGCACTGGGCATGGACCTTGCTCCATGCCATGGGCCTTGGGCTTCAGGTGATGGCTCCGCCATGCCCCATGGGCACTGGGCATGGACCTTGCTCCATGCCATGGGCCTTGGGCTTCAGGTGATGGCTCCGCCATGCCCCATGGGCACTGGGCATGGACCTTGCTCCATGCCATGGGCCTTGGGCTTCAGGTGATGGCTCCGCCATGCCCCATGGGCACTGGGCATGGACCTTGCTCCATGCCATGGGCCTTGGGCTTCAGGTGATGGCTCCACCATGCCCCTGTGGGCATTGGGCATGGGCCTTGCTCCCATGCCATGGCCTTGGGCTTCGGGTGATGGCTCCACCATGCCCCGTGGGCGCTGGGCATGGGCCTTGCTCCATGCCATGCTGTGGGCTCCATCTACCCGTCCACGCTCACCTCGTTGCCTGCCCGTCCCAGCTGCTGCAGGAGAAGTTCATGGAGTTCGCCAGCGAGACCGGCAGCATCGGGAACGAGCGGATCTCTGCCGTGAACCAGATGGTGGACGAGCTCATTGACTATGGCCATGCAGACGCGGCCACCATCGCCGAGTGGAAGGACGGGGTCAACGAGGCCTGGGCTGACCTGCTGGAGCTGATGGAGACGCGGGCGCAGATGCTGGCGGCCTCCCACGAGCTGCACAAGTTCTTCAACGACTGCAAGGACGTGCTGTCGCAGATCGAGGAGAAGCGGCAGCGGCTCCCCGAGCTGGCGGCCCGCGAGGCCAAGACCTCAGCGGGCACCTTGCAGCGCCTGCTCAGCGCCTTCGAGCACGATGTGGAGGTGCTGGTGACACAGGTGAGATGGTGGAGAGATGCGGGGGTGGCACAGAGATGGTGGTAGCAGCAGTGGTGATGGTGGCGGTGATGCGGTGGTGGTGATGGAGGTGGTGGAGAGAGAATGGTGATGGTGGGGAGACAGTGGTGATGATGGAAGAGATGGTGGTGCTGATGGTGGTGGTGGAGAGATGATGGTGGTAGTGGTAAGGAGATAATGGTGATGGTGGAGAGATGGTGATGGTGATGGTGGAGAGATGGTGATGGTGATGGTGGAGAGATGGTGATGGTGGTGGTGATGGTGGAGAGATGGTGGTGGTGGTGATGGTGGTGGAGATGGTGGTGATGATGGTGGAGAGATGGTGGTGGTGATGGTGGAGAGATGGTGGTGATGATGGTGATGACGATGGTGGTGATGGTGGTGGTGATGGTGGTGGAGATGGTGGTGGTGATGCTGATGGTAATGGTGATGGTGAGATGGTGGTGGTGGTGAAGGCGGGATGACAGTGGTGATGGTGCTGGTGAAGGGATGGCGATGGTGGAGAGATGGTGGCGGTGGCCACAGCAGTGCCATGGTGGTGACACCGGCGTCCCCCCAGGTGCGGCAGCTGCAGGAGGGGGCAGCGCAGCTGCGGACAGTCTACGCGGGCGAGAACGCGGAGGCCATCGCCGCGCGCGAGCAGGAGGTGCTGCGCGCCTGGAAGGAGCTGCTGGCCTCGTGCGAGGAGTGTCGCCTGCACGTGGCCTCGGCCGCCGACAAGATCCGCTTCACCGGCACCGCGCGGGACCTCATCTCCTGGATGGACGGCATCATCTGCCAGATCGGCACCAGCGAGAAGCCCAGGTGGGACTACGCGGCCCTGGAGGCCACCGGCTGCCACCACCCGGTGTCACAGGCTCCCTCCCCACCCGCAGGGATGTCTCCTCCGTGGAGGTGCTCATGAGCTACCACCAAAGCCTCAAGAGCGAGATCGAAGCACGCGGAAAGCGCATCGCCG